AAAAGAAATGTGGAGATCAGAGGAAAACTTAGCAAGTCTGTTTTCTCACTAAGAGAAAGTGAGTTCTGGGAATAGAACTCATGTTCTTAGGCTTGGCAGCAAGTACATTTACTTGCTGAGCCATCTCATGGGCCTATGGTGTACTATCATAACACAATCACTTTTAGAGAAATCCATTTCCCTGTATTTTCTGACACATTTCTTTTTTTATCCAATTCACAGCCTAGGAATCACACACAGTCGGAATTCTTACACAATAACTTCATTGTTAACATATCCACAATGAAAGCAGTAGTTTAATTTTCATTGCAGTCTGGTTTTGGATGCCCTCTAAGGTGCTGATATTGCTTTTTTTTTTTTTTTTTTTTTTTTTTTTTTTTTAAAAATAGAAGCTATATGTTCCATCAAGTTTGAAACTTTTCTTAATGTTCTTTAATACTATTTCACTATCTCAAATAATGCCTGCTGCATAATGCATATTGCTTTTGTAATTTCACTTACCTGGGCAGTTCATTTGCTCCACAAGACAACCATAACTGTTCAGCTAGCACTGGAATATCCAAGATGGGACAACCGGAATTACTGGGGATTGCTATATGTTCCATCAAGTTTGAAACTTTTCTTAATGTTCTTTAATACTATTTCACTATCTCAAATAATGCCTGCTGCATAATGCATATTGCTTTTGTAATTTCACTTACCTGGGCAGTTCATTTGCTCCACAAGACAACCATAACTGTTCAGCTAGCACTGGAATATCCAAGATGGGACAACCGGAATTACTGGGGATTGGCAAGGACTGTCTAGTTAGAATTTCTGCACAATGCCTCATGCCACCAAGAGCCCTTTGTTTTCAAAATCTGATCCATGAAAGAAGAAAGCAGTTTATGAGAAAGGAAGAGAAGATCTAAAGAAAGTGGGTGGGGGCAGAAATAGATGGTAACAGTATATATGAAATGGAAGCGAAAGGAAGGACTAATTTTTTTGTCTTTTTGAGACAGGGTCTCCCTGTAGCCCCAGCTGTCCTGGAACTCATTATGTAGACCAGGCTGACCAAAAACTCACAGTTATATGCCTGCCTCTGCCTCCTGAGTGGTGGGATTAAAGATGTGCACCACCAGGCCTGGCTTGGAAGGACTATTTTGTGGGTAAGAAGGGAACCAAAAAGAGGGTGATGGACAATAAAGGTTGTTGGTAGTAGTTTGTGAGAACAGAATACAATGATATATATGACAATGCTGCTAGAATGAAACCCATTACTTTATATGATAATGAGAAAATAATAACAACAAAAAACTAATCTGAGGCAGAATTACAAGTTCAAGGCCAGTCTGAGCTACATAAATTGTAGGCCCCTCTGAGTTACAAATTGAGAAGTTTTTCAAAAACCCCAAAGGAATGTAAAAAGAAATTCATGGAATAATCTCACAAGATCATTTAGCACTTTCCTAAATGGATAGGATCATACAGCTGGTTGAAATAGAAATATATAGGCTTATACAAATAATATATATAATTGTTCAATAAAATACACTAATATTCTATACACTCCATAAACAAATATGAGCTCTAATAACATAATTGAAAACATGAAAATGACTATGATTGATTTTCATAACAGCATCTGGAGATTGTGAACAATGTGCATTTTTTATATAACACAGAGCTTAATGTTTTAATGGGTTTTAAAGCTTATGGTTTTAAAGCTTATGGTTGAATTTCCAAAGAGGTTTGGTTAACCCCAACTTTTTTTTCTTCTCATTTTCTTTAAAATTTTTAATAACTACATGATAAGAAGAAGCATTTCATTACAGCTTTAACATATTCAGTAACACACCCCAGAGCAAGGGTACATCTCCTTCACAAGTGGCTGTAAGTTTCTAGGTTCAAAGTTGAAATAATACAGTTATACAATATACTCAGTATAAGCCCCATAAGAAAAAAAATTGAGTTTTTAACCTTTAAAAAAGATCTTCATTTCGTTTTAGAATACATTGTTCCTTGCAGAAAAACTTTGTTTTTGCTACTAACACTGAGATGTTGGCACATGCATCTATAAACTGTATGTATCTATTACTAGTCATAATCAGTTGCACTTGGATCCTTGGCACCTGTGTATGTCTATAACATCA